CATCTCTTACACGTAGAAACAAACCCATCATCTCTTACACGTAGAAACAAACCCATCATCTCTTACACGTAGAAACAAACCCATCATCTCTTACACGTAGAAATAAACCCATCATCTCTTACACGTAGAAACAAACCCATCATCTCTTACACGTAGAAACAAACCCATCATCTCTTACACGTAGAAACAAACCCATCATCTCTTACACGTAGAAACAAACCCATCATCTCTTACACATAGAAAAAAACTCATCATCCATTACACGTAGAAATAAACCCATCATCCCTTACAAGTAGAAACAAACCCATCATCCCTTACAGGTAGAAACAAACCCATCATCTCTTACACGTAGAAACAAACCCATCATCTCTTACATGTAGAAACAAATCCATCATCCATTACATATAGAAACAAACCCATCATCTCTTACATGTAGAAACAAATCCATCATCCATTACATATAGAAACAAACCCATCATCTCTTACACACAGACTTCAGACCCTTCAGAATGTAACTACAGTAATTACAAACTGACCAGATTTTCTTTGCAGACTTAGATTAAAATTTTTAAAAGTAACTATGTGTAAACTCGTCACCTCTTCTTCGTAGATTTTAGACCACATTCAGCAAATAATTAAGTGTACAAACTCACCATCTCTTCCCCCACATTCAGCAAATAATTAAGTATACAAACTCACCACTGCTTTCTTCACCTTAAGCAAGTAGTTAAGTATACAAACTCACCATCTTTTCCCCCACATTCAGCAAATATTTAAGTATACAAACTCACCATCTCTTCCCTCGCCTTGTGCAACAACTCTTGGATTAACAAACTCTGGATGCCTGCCAATCAGCCAGCTAGTAAATTTTTGTAGAAATGATGATGATTCTGGTACAAACATTGGAATACGCCTATGATGCCTGCAATGGTAAATAAAGCTTAACGGCAAATGAAGTCAATTTCTGCCTGGCTATCACAGTCCTTAAAACAAGCAATAAAATTAACTGATTGACTGTGTACAACATGAAGTCCAATGGGCAGTTTGACAATTAGTGGAATTTGCTAATTAATCAATCATCAGACTCATTAATAAATCACTTTCAACTAATAGATGAGATGGCTAAAAGAGAAAACAGCTATAAATCGGGTTTCAATACATGTGGTGGGCAGATCACAGATAGCCCTCTGTGTAGTTTTTCACTTAACAACAGATATAATAGCAATATTTTAATTACTTGGATAGTTAGAATACTTGAAAAATAGTAATAATTGTAATTTTGGTTACTAGATAGTTGGGTAAATTGAAGAGAGTAATAATCAGAAACACAAATTTCAATTAGTTGATTATTTTCCTGACACTAATCAATTTAATCATAATTTTGATTACTGGATCATTGGAATAATCAGAAATAATAATAATTATTAACACTAATTAGTTATTTTCACGACATAATCAATTTAATAGTAATATTGATTGATCAATTATTTTATTGTGACATTAATCAATGTAACTGATGCTCATAGGTAATCCTGTGCAGTAACTTATTGTATTTTGGTAATTTGGAGACTAGAAACAATTTCATTTTTATAGAATTGTGTATAGAATATTCGTTGTTTTTTTGTAATTTTAAGATTAAACAATATTACTGAATATATGAACCATATATGTAGATAACTGTTGCTACACAGACCACCACTGCAAATAAAACTAATATTAATACTGAATATATATATAAACCATATATAGAAACTTGCTACACAGACCACCAACAACATTATTAGTAACATAAACAGGATACGTAGTTAACTGTTGCTAAATTAAACCCTAATACAAATAACAAAATGCTACTGAGAAAAATACAGTATAAAGAACATCATGATAGCTACTAATTCATTACATCTTTAACTTTGAAGATTATCTATTTTTTACAATCAATGTATTCTAGTGATAAAACCTTTACGAGTTTAGAGTAAAGCTCGTCATAAGCAAATGAAAGATTAAGGATACGTACTGTCCTGGGATTAAAGGCACGTGAACAGCTCCATAGCCTCTGACAACATCATTTCCAAATATATCAGGACCATAAACTGATATTACAATCTGTGGCCCTGCATTAATGGAAGTGAGGGTTAACATCATAATGCAAAACTCCATTGAAAAGATAATACAAACTCATGAAATTTATTATGAAAACAACAATACTAAACTCTAGAATGAAAACAGGAGTTAACTGAAAATGCTTGTATAAACTGTACAGTCATGGATAACAATGGTCCTTTAAAATATTCCAATGGGAAGCTCTATTGTGAAACAGGCTCTAGTAGTTTTATTGTCTATGTTAATCAATTTCTCTAAATTTAAGTACACTTCTAAAAATTAATATTTGCTAAAACGAAAATTATTTGATTTTTTTTTTTTTAATTTCTTGCTTCTACTGACACTGACTAGATTAATTACAAATGGGGCATTGTTACTTTTCAAATTACATAAATTCTTGACTGTTGGGAGGTTTCAACTGATCTCTTAACACTTGATAAATTTCTGACTACTGAGAAATTTCAAATGATCTCTTAATGCTTGATATATTCTAACTATTGTGAAGTTTCAAATGATCTATTCACACTTGATAAATTCCTAAATATTAGGAGATTTCAAATAATCTCTTAATTAACACTGTTGTTTCACTTTCTTGGACTGCTGACTATAGGGAAGGTAACTGTCTGGCAGCACACACCACCAACTTTTATTTTTCTTCTTGAGCTGCTGACCAGTGGAAAGGCAACAGAAAACAAGAATGATGCATGAAGAATTTTACAGAACATAGGAATATTGTATGAAGAATTTTACAGAACATAGGAATATTGTATGAAGAATTTTACAGGACATAGGAATATTGTATGAAGAATTTTACAGAACATAGGAATATTGTATGAAGAATTTTACAGAACATAGGAATATTGTATGGAGAATGTTAAGAAACATAGGAATATTGTATGGAGAATTATACAGAACATAGGAATATTGTATGAAGAATTTTACAGAACATAGGAATATTGTATGGAGAATGTTAAGAAACATAGGAATATTGTATGAAGAATTTTACAGAACATAGGAATATTGTATGGAGAATGTTAAGAAA